AATTTATCCAGGATGCTCCAGATAAAGAAAATTTAATGATTAAGGTAACTTACAAGGTTTTAATTTCTATTTAGATTATAGCTTTAGTTATCTTTTAGGTGGCTGTAATATTTGGTATTTCTGGGGCCTGTAGAATGGAATGAGTTAGTCCGAATGACTGTACACGATTATAGAAGACTTAGAATCTAAGCTTTTACTCAGCATACCTGATTCGAAAACCAACAAACCAAGATCATTTGTAATTAATCAGATCTACTTGAATGTTTATCGAAAGTATGTTTCGTTAAGACCAGAAAATATGAACAGTGACCGATTTTTCTTTAAATATCAAAGCGGAAAGGGTTATAGACAAGTGGTAGGAATTCATCAATTTAGAAAAATGCCCAAAATAATTGCTACTTATTTGAACTTGGTAAATCCGACAGAATATACTGGTCACTGCTTTCGTCGGTCTTCTGCAACAATATTGGTTGACTCTGGTGCCGACATAACTAGTTTTAAAGAGGCATGGCGGATGGAAGTCATCAAACGTTGCTGAAGGATATATCGAAGAATCGCTTAACAATAAGGTTGAGGTGGCAAATAAAATTTTCACAGTACAAAATATTCAACAAAATGACACTTCCACCCTGCATGTTGTCCAAAATGTTTTCTCATAGTTCTAAGAGTGTTCCTACAATGTTCAATAATTGTACTAACTGTCAAATTACTGTAAATATAACAAATTGATCTTAAAAATGTATTCAGCAATGACTTGATGTTTTCAAAATATAAATTAATTCCTTATAAGCAATGTGTTTTCTATCATTATGTAGAACACTAACAACTGTACGGAAATATCATTTCCTTACAGTAAGGAAATGACATTTCCTTACAGTAAGGAAGTCCTGACTTTTTCTTCAAGAAATTTTGACAGGAATGTCAAAATCTCCTGGCGATTTGCGGAAAATTAGTTTATTGTCCTATATATTTTCATTTTTAATATTGCAATATCTTATTGCATTACGAATTAATTATGAAAAATGTTTAAGTTAAACGAAAAAACGTTGGTTTAAAATTAATCAAAATTGTAGGGATTCTATTGGATTCATATTTTCAGCAGAGTGCTTAAAACTTAATTGCTTTTTTACTGTCAACTTTAATATAACGTCTATATTTAAAAACAGATGGCCAATACCCTGTCTTCAAAACCACTGTACGTGCACTTGTAGACAGGTAAATAACATTACTAAAATCAGCTCATAGCTAATTCTTTCATACATACTACGTGATTTAAGTCTAAAATAACTTTTTAGCGTGCAATCTATTAATAAATTATTAATATGATAGAAATTACTTAATGGTCAAGGATTTGTTTATATTTTGCAGCCTTTAAAATTGCGAAATAAAAAATTTTGATAATGATAATGTAATAAAATTAGTTGCCTTGTTGTACATTAGCTAACTATTATACAATAAAACCTATATAAATAAATTAAGGTTAATAAATTTCTTCTTCTTCTTCTTCTTCTTCTTCTGGTTCCTATCTGTTTCGGATGTTGGAAATCATATTGGCAATCATAACCTTGCTGGCTGCGGCTCGAAACAGCTCCGTTGAGGTTTTCTTAAACCATGTTCTTAAATTCCGCAGCCATGATATTCTCATTCTACCGGGTCCTCGCTTACCTTTGACTTTACCTTGCAATATAGACTGTAGCAATGAGTAACGGTGCTCATTTCTCATAACGTGTCCCAGATATTGCAATTTTATGCGTTTGATTGTAAACACAATCTCTGGTTCCTTCTTCATTTTTCCTAGAACTTCCTTGTTCGTGATCCTTGCTGTCCATGATATTTTCAGCATTCTTCTTTAAAGCCACATCTCAAATGCTTCAAGTTTTTTAATAGTGGTGTCTGTAAGCGTCCATGCCTCCGCCCCGTAGAACAACACAGAGAAAACATAGCATCTCAAATGTCTTATTTTTGTATCAAGGGATATGTTGTGACTTTTGAAGATGGCGCTCATTTTGTTAAAGACCATTCTTGCCTTTCCCATGCGGCACTTTATTTCCTGTAAATTGCTTCACTGTTCGTTAATAATAGTTCCCAGGTAACAATACTGTTTTACTCGCTCTATCTGCGTCCCATTAATGTATAGATGAGCCCCGTTTATATTCTCCTTGCTGATAATCATTTGTTTCGTTTTGTGGGTATTAATGTTTAGTCCGTACTGTTGACTGTACTCGTTTATTCTGGGAATGATCTATTTCTAATAAATTACCTATATAAATTGGGAATGATCTTAATTTTAACGAACTAAAAACACTCCAGTGTACAGTCCTTTTTGTGTTTTTTTCAATGAAAAATAAATAGATCCAGCATAATTAGGACAATTTTTCTGTAATTTTGTTACCAAATGATCTCTCCTAGTTGTGATGCTTTAAATACTTGACCAGAGGTCTGAAGATGGCTTTTTAATCCAAAAGTTCTCAGCTAGGAATTAAATTATTTACACACTTCAAAAATACTTTCCTCTTTTCATGTAAACAAGTAAAAGAAAAAAGTAGTACCAATAATTTTAATAGATCAACGATTTATCAATCTAACTAAACAAAGACTATAGTTATAGCTACATGAATTGTCAGAAGAAATTACGATAGAAAGGTGAATAAGACGAGAGGATATAATATCCTATAAACTCTTCTTGGAGCTAAGATTAATACTATAATAAGAATTAATATTAAACTCAACAATCTTTCGGGTTGAACCGCGTCGATTACCATTGCGCCGAGTTTTCGACATCCTCTTTGATGTCTTCTTCAAGGCTACCGAGAGCTCAGTCTCCCGAGCCCCAGACACTACTAGACTGATCACTAACCAATGCATTACTAAGTGTACCAAGTATTAATATAAGTATTTTTATTTGTTTTAGCGTCCCCGTATTTTCCTACTAATTTGTTATTTGTTTTTTTTTTCCTGTCCAAGCATTAAAATCGCCCAACAGCGCAATTTCTTTGAGAATATGTATTAATACGTTCCAATAGGGTTCCATAGAATATTTAGTGATCTGTTTTTTATGCACTTTTTGATGGCTCATATATTCCAATAATCTCGGGCTCGTGCCCTTTCCCCGTAATAGCGGGTCTCTAACAATTCTCTCATTGATCTGCTTCTAGCTTTTCAGGTTTCCCTTTAGGTCTTGTTTTATCAATGTTGATACCCCTGCTTGTGCTCTCTTGTCTTTCTCTACTCAACTAAAAATATGTATAAAACTATATGCAAATGTCAAACAAAATATCATGTTAGTGAAAGTCAAATGGGGCACAAGATGAAAAACAAAATGAGAACATAAGCTTATTTGATAAATTTGAATAAATTTCTTGATTTGAAATGTGTTGAAATTATTGTCAAAAAGAAAAAATAGCTGAATTCTTAGTAAAACCAAAGTAAGAGATATTTTAACTCTAGTAGGAAAACTTAAATGAAAATTTGTTGGGTATAACCCTGAGATAGAAGAACGAAAGGTGCAAATAGTCGAGATAGAGAAAGATATAGGAAAGAAAAGGAGGCTTATATTCAAAAATGGATGTTCTTGGCTGATTTAGTATATAAAATATTCATTACTAAATTTGATTTATAATTCATAACCTGCGTTTATAATTCATAAACTGTTTTTTAGTGCATTTTATTTCACTTAACTAAGCTAATATGTGGGTAAATGATAAAAATTATCCATTTAGATAATTCTGATTTAAGTTCTTAGTGTACAAATGATTTAATAGTTATTTATCCACCCAGGGTATTATTAAGATGATTACGCCCGGATTAAGATGATTAAATAATCGAGTCAGACGGCCTATGGCACGAGGGGTGCCATCATTCAGGTACACCAGTGGTACATGTACAAAATAAAAAGTAAAAACGTCCCAATTTTAATTTTTATATTATGTGAAGTGAAAAATAAAATCTTGTATGTACCACTGGTGTTACCCGATGATTACGCCCATCGAGCAACATCTATCCATCGGGCCAGAGGACGTGTGACTAGATTATGTTGCTCTCCGGACGTGATCATCCTAATAACATCCTTGGTGCATAAATAACTATTAGACCATTGTTTTCTAATCGATAATAAAGCGCGTTTGGTAGTCTCATTTGTACAATTAGAATTTAAACCAGCAAAAATTGGTACCCAAGATCTTGTTTCTCTCTCTTATGCACGCCACAGCCCGAGGGCCAGTCCTGTCAAAAGTGCTTTATTAACAATTAAAAACAATGTATTAAAATTAAATAAGCCCAAAATACTATTTTGGAACTGATAGAACAAGGTTTGACTTTAACTTAAGTCCGTGGTGAATTTAAAAATAATCTTTTTTAGTTTTGTGTTTTTAGTGTTTTGACCTGGAAAACCCAAAAAATTAAAAAAAATTGCCTGGGCCGAAAAAATTTATTGTTACAATTTGTTTAAAAAAAGTTGAACAACTTTTCGCCTGGGCGACATCTTGAACCTTATTTTGGGCTATCTCATAAAAGTTATCTCAAGTGAAGTGAAAATCTCATGAGAATATTTTTCCGAACGAACCCGCCTTGGAAGCGTTTTTTTTCGCCTTGTCTATTAATTGCTGAACATGGTTGAAATGACATTTTTTGTCCTATATTATTCATAAAGATTTTTTATAAAAAGTTTTTCTATTTGTATCTAGTAACACATTCAAATATCATCGAACTCTCATCTACTGAATATAGTGTTTAGCAACACAAAATATAATACGTACAAAGCCCGATACCATCGAACTTAAGCCATGGAAGTGGCATCGTGACGCAAACGGACCGCTTATCTATGCCAGCTCGATGCCAGTGAAAACAGTCGAACGTTAGCATCGAAGTAATGAGGAATACAAACACGACAGTTCATTCTATAAACCCGTTGCAATCGTTTACGCTTAAGTGATTTTCGTTTAGTGTTTTGATTTTTGGTTAGAGAAAAAAAAGTGACTTTAATTTACCTTTGTGACTGTACAATGTGTGTTAATCAATACACCATGGTCCCAGCAGTAGTTAATTTGGTAGCCACTAAGGGACGTGATACATACACTGGATTTATCAATGAATTTGCCTGTTTTAAGTGCAGAAGCTTTTCGGTAAGATTGTATTCATCTTTTAAAAGTTTAAACATCATAGTAAAGTCACGGTATTAAATAGGGTTTTACTTATAGATTTAGATATATCCTTGATACTGTTAGGATTAGGGAGTAAATTATTGAAGAGTCTAGATTTAATTAGTACTTAGATAAGTCGTACAGATAACACAGATATTTTAGATCGAAAGAAAAAGGAAAATTTATGATAGTATATTATTTAAATATTAAAAAACTGATTCAAATTGATTTTATATTATTTTCATATTGGTTAAAAGCCTTTATTATAAAGATAACTCCTTAAAACTGGCTGTATATATGTAGAAAAGGACTGTTTTAAAGTTAGCGAGGGAGAAACTGTTTCCGTAACTTGGGATGCATTTTAAAACTTTATTTACTTGGCATTATTTTTCGATTTAATTATTTCCGTCATAATAACATTTTTCGATATCAAAGTGGTTTAGATATTGTGGTTTCATAAAGATAACAGTAGATCTGGAATATTCGAATCTTTCTTGAATTTCTATTAAATTAAGAATGGGTAAAGACCACCATCTCGCCTACCTTGTTTTACTCTCATTCTCCCCCTGTTCCTCTCCTGCGCTATTTATTTCCGTCTTCGGTTATTTCGACTACTTCTTTTGGAAGAGGGGGTAACCTTTCATTCTGCTATCGAGTTCTCCTTCTAATTCTTTGCTACTGGAAAAGTTTCTGGAAGTCCATATCGATGCCTTTTTCTTTTGCCGAGATAGTTGACAGGCGATAAGAAAATACAATGTAGTAGTCGTTTGTTGACTTTGCTGTATACATGCATCCTTCCATAAATATAAAATCTACATACATTTTCTGTTGTTCTTTTGAAAAACGATTTGGTATTCAAATAACAATGTTTTTTTAATTAGTCATATGATATGTTCGCCTGTTGTGCTGAAAAATTTTTAGTAACCTTTTAGTAACATTATTAAGGAAATACCTGATGATTCCCAAAGTTACACATATCCTTTTGCGTCAAAACCACTTATTACTAGAAAAACCATTGCGTTTAGAAATTATGTAAAATGTAACCCATGGTTTACATAAAACAATAAAACTATATTACAGTTTCATTGTCTTTCGAGAGATATTTCGTCAGTGTTTTATTTTGGAATTTGTTAAGAAATGTTTTATCTAGATTATTCTGATTTTTTTTATAATTCCTCCATTGTTTTTAAAACGTCGTGTAGCATGTTCAAAAAAATTTAAGAATGAGTTATTTAACAATTTTTTCACATTTCACATTAGAACCACTGTTTAGATATTTTTGGTAAAGTGGATATGCCAAAAAGTCCACATACTATTAACTAATTTTAATATTTTAATCGTATACTGACGATTCAAAAATCCAGCAAGAGCTTTCTGTTTTCCGAAGATTACATAGATGCTTTTCAAACCTGAATTAGAACCTGGAAAAATAAAATTTTTGAGGTTAATCCAAAGAAGTTGAATTATTAATTCAAAACGGCTATTATTTACAGCCATAGATCTATATAGTTTGAGAACACGGGGTAGCTCTAAACTGAGCAGTACTCCGCAAAGGACACACTGGGTGAAAAAGTAGTCACCGACAAGTAGAAAGGGCCTCACGTCACCCGTATATTAGACGTGTAGCAGACGTATATCAGACGTATACCTGGTGAACGTCTGCTATATAGCATATAGTATTGGAGGTTAATATTCCCCGGGGGGGTATACCCCGGACCATATTCTGACACTGTAATTTACAAATTTTAAGGACTTAAAATGGTGGAGGTAGCATAAAAAAAATTCGGTTCTCAACCAAACCCTCCCCCCCCCCAGAGAAAAATTTTAGGTGCGCTACTGACTAGGCTATATGTAAAGTGGGGTGAAGTGATACCCTTTCTACTCCCATACGGCTGGACTCAACTAATATGAAACGTTCTATGGGAATATGGACGTTTCATGTAGGGAATCGACTGATACCTATCTTATGACACTTTATATAATAAAATGTTTATGTGGTGTTGGCAGAAAGCTTATGTATATGTATAGCAGATTTCCCGAGGTACCGGGAACTGTATAATAGTTAATGGAAGATTTTCCTACGGTAAGCGGTGTAGAGCAGACAAGTTTCAGAGAAAAAAACCGCAAAACCGCAAACATCTGTGTTAGTTAGTGGTTTGCATATTGACTAACACCTACAGTCAAGCATATTTTGGGTGGAAGTCTTTAAGAGGTGCTTAAAACCTTTTTCTCGCTGCATTGCTCATCTTGGCTTGCTTTCTCGCTGACCTTTTTCGATTCTTGCTAAGGTTCGTCGTGATTGTGTTGATTATTTTTCAGTAGTTTAGTTTTCACTTAGGAAGTATGCTGTACGAATTCTCTTACTTATTTGTTTATAAATCCCAGCAGAACCTTACATGCCGGCAGAAGATTAATGAAACCTGCGCGTTACTTAATATGCTAAGGAGAGCAGTTTAGAGCTATACATACTCGGTCGTGTTTAAGAGACAGAATTCCCACGAACGAACATCACGATTCCCTCAAAAACAACGAATTATCACGGCTTTCTGAGGCTAAGAGAATTTTTTTTTAGAAGAATTAGAATGTTCTATTATATGGGTGTTTGAAGTAATACCTTATAGTATCGGAAAAATGGGCCTCTTACAATTTGTATTCAAATAATTATGTTCGTTTTTTAACCAAAAGCTATTTTAAGTACTTTAATTGAAATCTGACCCTATAATATACTCATTGTCTCTTATCTACAGTTAGTATATATTATGTTAACAACGAGAAACAATAACATATTTTTGGTCATTGATATGGCTATTGATAAGATTATTTCTACATATTAATACTGTTCATATATAACCCTCAAATTGATAATAGAACTGTCGAACAAAAACCTATAACTATCTTTGTGCGTTAACATAATCCTTCAAAAAAGTATAATTTTGATTACGAGCGTATAGTTGATGTGTTGTATGTAAATTGTAATTATTAGTAGCGGTAGTACACGGTAAGTAAGGACACTGAAGACGTAATCGTCAAAAATTAAATATACAGTAAGATTATAATATGTATATGAATAAGGAATATAGACATATTCAGAATAACAGATACAATGTATATTTCTAATAGATTATTTTTGCTAATAATCTCGTGATGGATACGATATTTGTTCAAGAATTTACATCTCATCTATAATAATAAAAATTATCTTCACTAATGTACATTTTAATAAAAAAAAAACCGGCAACTATTAATTTTTTTGTAATCATATAAGCGGTTTTGCACTTTAGATTGAAAGTGTATATAATTCAATTACACGTATCACGTATATCGGATGAGGGTTTCTCTTTTCATATTAGAAGAAATTTACACATTTCAAATTATGCTCTGAATATTTTAATCAGCTTATTATGATACCTTCTTTACCACTTTTTTTTAAGCTCCACATTTAACTCCTTGTTCTTAGGGTTACATTTGTTTTGGGACCGAGTAATATCTAAACTTTTTTTAACCATTTAATATGGTTATTTTATTGGTTTCTTTTTTTGGTACTTACTTACTTAAACTCCATATTCGTTTTAAATAAATGTCAGTTTTTGTTGAACAAATTGATCATCTGTAAAATGCTCAACAACCCTACAGATCTCACGAAAACTACTAGTTTCTAAAAACCGCTCAGCTTTACCATAATATTTACCCTAATAGAAATTAGTTAAAGTGATAATAGTTATTTATATATATATATATATATATATATATATATATATATATATATATATATATATATTGTTAGTGTCCTGTATAAATGGCCATAGTTGTCGAAGTACGTATGTAAATAAAAAAAACTTATACGGCAGATTAAGTTGATAACGTTTGGGACAAGATTACAGAAGATTTTTCAATTATTAGGTTTCTTTTTTTGTGACAACAGGTCACATTTTTGATAATATTAATTCCACAACAGTCTCAAAATCATTGAATTTAGTTTATATATTCACTACCTTGGTTGTAATTTAAACATTATACACTTCTTTTTGTTGGAAAGTGTCATATTAATGCGAAGGTCTCCTGAAATTATTGTTACGTAATAAAAAACCTTCACGAATTTTAATTTGCTGTACACAGAGTTGAGTGCTTTGTTTTCTTTTTAATACGTTGGAATTCTAATATGTTAATATTTGGAGAGCATGGATCTAAATTGATACAATTTCTATATTTCATATTATTATTTACGAATATTTTAAACAAATTTGCAACGTCACTTGCAACGTAAAAAATTAATAATAAGTGGTCCTCTTCGTTTTCTATACACTGAGTTAGTATATGGGACATTGATCGAATTAAGTAGTCTATATGATATTGCAGAATACTCATCCAGATTTTTCTTACATTCTACAAGTCTTCTAATTTTTAGACTAGTCTTTTTTTCCTAATCGGGCGAATTTTTTACTAATAGGTCGAAACCTGAATCGAAATTTAGGTTTTTAGGTTTCAACCTACCAGACATATGTTTGATGGGTGACAAATCAGCTAATCTTAATGGCCGCTCCAAAGTCTCTATACCAGATTCTTGTATGAACTCCATGGTTTTCATGGGCAATATGAGCTCTTACGATATCCTGTTAAAAGAACGTATTTGGAATGGTTTGTAAGTATGGATATAAAACCGGTTACAGTACTTCACCAATATATCTTCAACAATACTTCACCAATAAACTAAAGTTAAAAACCACAGAAATAAACTTTATCTTTTTTGATTTTGCAAAAAAAAAAGAAAAAACTTCAGTTAAAGAAACGATAGCTTGGTAAAAACTGTATCACATATATTTTTAGATAAAATTTACCAAGAAATACTTTTGATCCAAATAAATAACCGAATACAAAGCGTTTTTTGCCCTCAGTATACATACATACATAGTTTTCTTTCGTATTTTTTCTCTATTTTTGTTTGGCATCTGCTTATCGTTATGTTTACCTGAGAATTATAAAATATTGATGACATTGATAATATTTCCGGCTTATTGAAAGAAAAATATACGTTTTTAATCTTTGATTGTTATCTTAATGACTAGGTAAATAGTTACGAACCGTGGTTTGACCGTTTCTGTTTGGTTAGGAGCAGTCTTTGCTCAACACATATTTAAAAGTTATCTATGACAATTAACACATGCAAGTGGTTTGACAAAAATATTGCTAACTCTTGGATGATTAATGTATCTATATATAAAACTATACTGGCAAGGTTTTTTAATACAAATAGCTTGCCAGCTTAGAACAAAGTTTTATTAATCACCAGTATCAAATATAGATTGTTCGATCTTATTTCTTTCAAAGCAATCGCCAAGTTTGAAACTTCTTCTATAGTTTGATAAATAACTATGTCTGGTGATTGAAGTAAGTGGCTAACTTTGGCAACCATTTGCAGAATTAGATGCATTATTTACAAATGCATAATAAAATCAAATGAGTGTATTTGATGTAGTATCCCTTTACATTTAACTCTAGCTTGCGTCATCGACTGTCTCTTCAATGGCGTCTATAATTGCTTCAAGCTGATCTTTGATCACAGCAACTGCCTGAGCACAAGCCCAACACGTTTCTGTTAAAGATTTCAAAGTTTATAAAACTTTTATTATACTTTTTGTTAAATACGCGTACATATATTTTAAATACACTTTCTTCTATATTTTATAGAAATTTATTATTTCAGGTTAATAAAAAAAATATATAGGTATATACATCCCATATAGGTCATTTATCTTAAAATTTGATATTTTTGTTTCGTGGTTTATTATCTTTGTGATTATTTAGTAGACTAAAAAAAATTCACTCCAGGTATGATGTGTTGACCTCTTGACGTAAATAGTGTAACTGTATTTTTAATAATCCGAGGCTTGGATGCTTTTAACGATTGGTATTTTTCCATTTGTTATTAATCGTCTGGTCAACAACTTTTTTCGCACGTAAAATGAATGTCTAATTTTTGACTTGAAGATTTTCGACTTTTTTTTTGGTACTTTTTAACGTCATTCAGAGTTTCGGACGTTCAAACGGTTTTTATTAATACTTGATATACATACATTAGTCTTTATTATGTAACTTTTGAATTCACGTCAAAACATTGAATTAATTTATCATTTTTTGCTTGTCTACTATAAAGACCTTATTTGTTTTTACTATTTATTTTTTATCTATATCTAGAATTAAACAGCCAATGCGAGCTGCGTAGTGTTTGATCTAGAAGTACCACTAAGAATGCACTTAGGTTTATGCATGAATGTATATCATTCGTTTACAGTGAACGGCCGTAGCTCAGCGGCAAGATAGTCTTTGTAAGCCAGAGCACGAGTCGATTCTCGGCACCAACAATCACATTTTCGTTTCTAAAAATTATACCAGCCGTTCACCGCGCTTCGAAGGGTACGTTAAACGTTGATTCAGACCAACAGTCACGGGAGAATCAGATCATAGTCAAATTACTTTCAAGTCAATGGGCAACCCATTCGCACACACAGGCAAATCAGCGTCAGTCTACTTCAGCATTCAGGTCGATCAAGATACCTGAGACAAAAATCACTACAAAACAACGTTACTTTTGGAAGAAGTTGGGCCTCGTCGAAAGTGGGTAAGCAAAATATTTTTGTCGGGGAGAGAAGGGGATTTCGCAAAATTGTACCCACAACTATTGGACGACGACACAAAATGCGTACAGCACTTTCGCAGGTCACGTTGTGATTTCCTTAATTTACTGTAGAAGAGCAGTAACTCCAGCCGAAAAGCTACTAAGAGTTACCTTGTGTTAGTATTTTCCGAAGTTCCTGCCATTTTTTTAATTTTCTCTGAGGATCAGAGTATAATGGATGCGATAAATCATAGAGTAATATTTCTTCTCGAATACACTCAATTATTTTTTTTTGTCCTTCATTGTTAATAAAAACGACGAAAATATGTTACAACAACGAAAAACAGGTGGCTGACTGACTGTGTCCTATTCACACCAATTCGGCAGTTCGGTCCAGTCAAGATCAAGTCAGACTCTTGATCGCTGGCGGAGCAACCGGACGGGCAGTGATCTTGATTGTACCATCTCTGACTGTGATGAGACTGTTGGTCTGATTCAACTTTAAGCCGTCGGTCCCCTGGGCTAGTATGTGCATCGACACTAGCTACTTGAAACGGGGTTAAAAATGCAAATGGCGCCGGAACCTGCCCGAAAAGATCACCCGGCAAATAGCCATACGATATTATTATTTCTATTATTACTCTTTTACAAGGGGCAAAAGCCTATTTAACGGTGCAATAATAAAAAAATTGCAATCATTCTAGATTTGGAATTATTAAGAAATTGTGGGAATATAATATTTATTAGGAAGCGTTTTTGAGATGTTTGAGAAAGTGAAAAGAAAATCAAGGGTTCCTAACTTATAACTCAACTCTGAAAGACTTAAATGTATCTTCTTCAGAAGATAAAAGTACACCAAGTTTCAGAATGTGAGATAAAAATTAACACCAAGAAAATTATTGGCGGCTATTGCATGGAATTAAGTATTAGAGAAGAAGAATAACTTTTAATTTTTAGTTGGTTAAAATTACATAACACATCTAGGCGGAAAAATTTTAGCTTAAAAATATCCGATTTCTGCTCAAATGTATCTTTAATAAAGACACTGGTGTGTTTTTGTTTTGGAATGCGAAAAAATCAGTTTTAATTAAATTACCTTAATCGAATAATTATTCAAATAAAACCAATTAAGTATCTCTAATTAATATATTAAACTCGTACGGAATGTCAGCTAGTGTTTATTTCTATCATCTCTTAGTGAGATACTGACCTCGGCGGTTTTTTCTCGATCTACTCCAAATACGATCAGTAATAACGTCAATTGTTTCATAAAATCGTTTTTTCATTTGGACGTGAAATGACAGATGACACGACTTTTGCGTAAACGACGACCGTGTAAAAGTGGACTGTTTGAAACAAACAAGCACTTGGTTATGTTTATTCAATAAGGATAATGTCGTTTTAAATCGCTCCGCTTTGTATACACTCATTTCTGTCTTTTATGAATACCTACGTGTTCTTTTTGAGGAAACATTTTTAGTAGTGTACATCCCGGAACATCGACTTTCTACGTAAACGTTGGCCCTGTACGCTTGATTATCGGAAATTATAGAGTCTTGTGGTTGTACTATGTTGCAGGTGTTTTGAAATAAGTAAAGTTTAATAGTAGATATCATCTTTAAAGACATCTCATACAACTATTAAAGCAAAATTATATACCATATTTAAAATAATCCTCGCTTTAAAGAATTTTATTTTTATTTTCTTTTATATCGAGTAGATATTAGTAAAGATGAGATTGTATTTTGTTAAGATTCTGAATACTTATATTAGCATAACTTCAAATATTTCTGGTTCTGGTCATACTGTGATCTAATCAAAGGAAATGGAAATATTTTGCCATATAAGTTAACTGGTTTATATATTCTGAAACTGTTTTCTTGTGGCATGTCCAAGTTAAATATTGTACCACAATAAATTAATTGTAATTAAAATTACTTTTTTGACTAGCTAAATTTGACTGTTGCAGATATGAAGGGTGATGATGCAGATACAGATTTTGATACCATTTACGGTTTTAATATTCCTCCTTACTGTCACCTTCTGTATGATTTTACTATTTGACATTTTCTGTCAAATATTAGAAGTTTTACGCTTTATGTCATTGTTCTTCTTCTTGCAGTATTTTATATGTGAGATAATTACCTCTTTATATAAGACTTTTCTAAATAACTGATTATAAAAAGCTTTTAAACTTACGAAATGTTTTATATTAGCTGTAACCATGGCAAATTTATCTAAACAGTTTATAAAATATCGGTTTAATTATATTTTTAGGAGTTTACTTGAATATATTTATGGTAATATAAATAAAGAAAAATAAGATAACTATAAATGTTAAATTTTAATAAATTACATAACTGTTGCATACGTGTAAATTAATTGTGTTTATAATTTCTGTATGCGTATTTATATCACAATAATTTGTGTAACTTACATACTTTTCTTTTGTTACAGTCGAGTGAAAAAGACCTCGAAGTAGCAGATTTATGGAAAAAACGAGGAAAGACTGTACGATCTCCTTCACCGCATAACGCATTCAAGAGATGGCGCATAAAGACTAATCTAAAAGCAGCAGAATCAAAAAATGGTATCGATGGATCCAAGTTGGCAATCAACTCCAAGGAAAGAACTGAAGAAGACATGTCGTTGCTCAAATTTTTGGCCATTGTAAGTATTTTTATTATTTGATTATTTCTGTACATTATCAAATTTTACTTATACCCGGTATTCTCACTAATTATCAAACTAACCCACTGAAATCGTAGGCCGAATCGTACCTTTATAAAAGAAGAATATGTGGCTAGCTTAGGCTAGCGTGTGTTACTTGTCTTATGTGCAAATGTAACTCTCATTTCTATAAATGTCAGAATAATTTATCTTTTTTATTTTTCAACGATATGTTATCGACATCGTATTGGGTGCTACGCGTGCTGAGGTTTCTCCGTCCAGATGTCAATTCCTCCTTTTTACTGTGGTAAAGTAAAAATGTTCTTTCTTTTTATTCTTTTTTTACACTTAATTATTATTAATATATTGTAAATAAAGTAGGATATATCCCTATAGGAACTGATTCATACTTAGTCTTATTATTTTGAAACTAGGTATCCAATCCCGTGAATTTTCTTACGTTTCGTATAGCTTTATTCTGTTATTGATAACTTAATTACTCTATGTACTCTGGTTAATATCTCTATCAGTATGAGACCTGTGCTTAGAAAGCAACAACGATGAACAGGCTGGAAGTATTTGAGCTGTTGTGGTATGTTCGAATTCTGAAATTATCGTGAACGATACTCGTTATCAACGAGGAGGGGTTTAGGGAAGGTTCCATGATATTGTTGACATGATAATAACCAATGTCTAAAAACTTTATTATTTAGTTAAACTGTTAAATACTCTTCTACATTGTACATCGGAGTGATCTTATCCAGAACTAGATTTCATAAATATTAGTGAATAATATAGCTTCTTACAAAATGTAATCGACACAGGACGTTTGTATGTAACAATTTTGATTATATAATAAATAACCAATACTATCGTTTTCCTTGTACCCGTTGTTGTTTTACAACATAAACAATCCGAAGGTATGTTAAAAACATGTTTTTACTGTTAACCAGCGTCAATTGTTCCTGCGAGATACGCAGATTTTATACGAAAACAAATTATTCAAAGTTTTTCACTTTCTCACGGTAACAGTTGTCAACAGAAGTGGTCGTCCTTGGTAATTTTTATAAATCGAATGGTAATAATATTGATTTCACGCCTACGTTTGTCTACTATTTCTTAATGCTAATCAGATTCCATCTTTCAGTTTGATAAAAAACCGTATAGGAAGCGTCCCCTGAATAAGAAGGAAGACATTTATTATTTCGCGTAATTACAATATCTCCGAGATAAGAAAACGAAAAAGTCAGTGTAATTAATATAGTACTCTCCTTTAAAATGAGTAACAGCTCAGTATATTTATATCTGTAAATAAAATTTGGATTAAGTATCACGTGTTCCTATGTTTGCATCAACGTAAAAAACACTCAAAGCTTTTATAAAAGTTTTAGTTTATAAAAGATATGTTGAGGCAAGTAAATATTAATTTATATGTAAAAACATGGAAAATAAATAATTATACACTTTTACGAGTATCATTCTTTAAAGTTTTATCTCACGAGAAAAAAATTAAAGTTAAAAAAAAATGATCAAAATTGGTCCACTGATCGTCGCTATTTTGAACGCATAATTTAATTTATGAGACGGCTGAAATGGCTATCTCCACTACTGCCGCTTGTCGATTTTTCTGTATTTTTAAAGTTTTAAAACACCATTTTAACCACGTTTCATAACAAAAAATATGAAAATTTATATTTACTATTTACTTGCCACAACAAAGGTATTTGTTTAAAAAAACCGATAGATTGTTGACCCTTTTAACGGTTTTTACTAATTTTGCAATAATAATAATTTTTTCTATGTTTAATCAATTCTATCTTGTAGAAAATTTAATTGCAAAATTTGTTTGTCTGTACCAAATTGTTCTGCTGTAAATATAAAACAAGACAAAAAACGGGAAAAAAAATTTTTCCAATTTTTTCACAAATGGTTTAAAAAAAATTAGCCCACCTTTTCCATCATATATGATGTAACTCTCCAAAACAGATACCGCCTGGTCTAAATACCGAAATTGATCTCCTTTTCAACTGTCATCTGTGTTACAGAGAAATCATCATGGCCAATGTAGCTTTCTGAGCAACTGTTTTAAAGAGTTGCTTTGTGCTGCAGCGAAAACATTATTTTTCCTCAGCCAATATAGTTGTCATATTCCCACACTCTGGTTGATCAAATTTATATATTAACATATTTTAATTTCGTTTTTTTACAATGATGCGTTTCGCAGTATATACTTACCCAAAAGGAAAACCTAAAAATATAAGGCAAGGCCAATGTGTGAATATAAAAAATACGTGATTCAGAGTTAACAATGACTTTATTTATATTTATAACCGTAGCAAATAATCTATGGTTTTTGTTGAACACTGTCACCAAAACAATGTTGTTGTTTCTGTTAACTATTCGTCAAATGTATCTAATCATTATTCTTTTGTGATACGTACAAACTTGGTGCAGTTGCTAGGTAAGGTTTTTATCGGAAAACTAAACTGTTGACTAACAACGCATTACGGATTGACGTCAATGCAAGAAGAAAGTATAATAATAAGAAGCGGCGGATATGAGATTTTAGACTATTTCGAGGAACACTCGTGATAATTATTTCATTAGTATATATTAAGCCTCGATGGAAATGTTTTATTAATTTTTAAATAAATAATCGTTTTGGGTCTTTAGCAAAGCAGTTATGATCCATACCGCGATGTATTCAGAACCTCTTTATTGGTATAAACTTGAGTTTTTTGTGAAACCGATGCGATTTTTAAAAAAAGTACTAGTAAGTAATAACCACTATTAAGCAAGCAAGATTCTGTTTTTTAAATGATATAATTAAAAGTATATAATTAAATCATAAATTTAACAATTATACGTTGTGCATGCCTTGATCGTTTACTACATTCATAGCAAAATTTCTACGTAATAACTACACTTAAAAATAATTTATACGGTTTTTTTTTAAATATGTGCTATTTTATAACCCAGTAAAACGAGAAGCTTTAATAAAAATAATTGTTCTACGTTAGCAACGGTCATGAATTTCCTACGCAAATTTGTTTTACGCATATATGCCTCATCAGACTTGTGCAATTCCCCTGATTTTTAAAACCAAGTGTCATCTACACTCTACATCATTCAACTAATTTAGTATTTTTCTTTATTTTTCCCATTTTTTCTCCCTTTCCTGAAAGTATTCATATTTGTTTTCAAGATTTTAAATTATATTAGCCTGTTAGCCATAGTAAACTAGTGTTCATACTGAAGTTGCAGTTACTGTTTTTAGCACATTTTTATTAACTTGCTTCCATCTGTCGTTCTGATTTTAAACTGAGTTTAATGAGTACGATAAAGGCGGGTTGACACGATCCAAGAATGCTTGTATTCCAACTTGGACTAGGTGGACTTGTACAAGTGTACTTGTACCAAGTTGGTTGTCACAATTAAATGACTTGGATGTCAAATAACCATTGTAAAGATGACGAAAGTGATTGTGGAAGGTGTTTGAAATCCAGAAAAAAGGAATAAAAAAGAAAAAATGCCGCATTTCTAGCATCCTTTTTTTAATTCGTTCATTTGTACGTTCCCTAATGCTTCCTCAGGTTTGTATAACTCCATGAATGTAACACTCTCTCTCCCTTTGAGACCATTTTCTTTTTGTGTTTACTTCTCGTTTTTGATTTTTTAATTTAGCCATTTTAATTTTACGATACCTCACTACTTGGATCCAAGGAAGCTCGCCAGCGTCCTACTTAACTTGGATTGAACCTGTTAAGTGTACTTGGATGAACAGGTGGCACGATCAAAGTAGCTTCCAATTGTTGCGCGCGCAACGTCCAAGCAGATTCTATTGCAAATACTTTTTTATTTTAAACAGCGCAAAATTGGATTAAAATTCTGCTTTTTTATATGTTTCAGAAAAATAATTGAATGGATTAATTTCTCGAAGATTCTAAAATTGTTCTAAAAATTATAGGAAGTATCACTGAGAATATTCATACAATAGTTCATTCATACTATTGAGAGCGCAGTAAAGTTCTTCTTCTTCTTTTTTTGTAATTAGTTTCATCGTTTTCGTGGTATCCACTGATCGTCTTCCTTTTGGGGAACCGTCTCTCTCCGTCTTTCTCGTAGAACATCAAAGACTGGGTAAAAAAAGAAGTGTAGAATGGAACAATCATATAAGACGAATGACAACAAATAGAATAGCAATGAAGTTGTTGGATATTATTCGTGAATCGATTATATATTTCATACGACCCACTTTTTGTTTCGAATTGTATAAGTTTTTTATAGAAATTTAAATTTACTATCAGATTTTTTAGAAAATTTCTCTTTTTTGGAATTCTAAATAGTATAATTTAAATTCTTTTCAACTATTTCATTTATTTTATATGAAAGCAATAGTTTATATAAATAACATTGAAGAAATAAAGTTAACGTTAATAAATTTAATATAACAAAAATGAGGATATTATTATCGAAGAAGAGAACCATGATTTTTTTATTTTAAATGAATACGTGAAAGTGATCATTAAATATTACAATCTCAGTTTTACACAATAAAAGGCTGAATGGTTGTGAAAAAAATATCAGATTATGCGAAAGAACAAAAAAAAAATTCTTTTTTTAATAAAAAATAAAAATTTTTTAATAAAAAAAAAAATTTTCTTCCAAGGCACTGCACCGGCTGAAGAAAGCGTTATGATAATAGCAAAAATTGATGAGTTGCAGAGGTTTAGACGGCATAAAGAAGTTGAATTGGGAGAAAACGAGACTATACCCCATAAAGCAAAAGAATTTCTGCAAAAACCTTCTTTTTTCATTTCAAAAGAGGTTACTTATCACACCACCTAGTAGTTATTTTATCTGATAAATCACAACACGCTCTTGTTAAAAAATATTAAAAATTTTCATGAAATCATTTTGTAGATGACTCTTATTTCCGTCTTTTAAAATAAATCTTGACGCAAATCTACCGCTAAAGTGATTTTAATGATTTTTTCCTTATTTCTGTCGTTCGAATTGATAATGTTTCATTACTAATATCGTTTTTAAATATTCTTTTGACGTAGGTATCTACACGCAGTGAATTTATTTGTCAAGCGACCTTACGTGAAGGTGAAAGGTGTATTTTTTCTTATTATTTCTCCGTTCATACCGTTTATCGATGTGGAAGAATATATTAGTGGTTCTGATACAAGTGGTGTAGATTCGTAGTCTCGTAGTACTTAGTCTTTATGCCGATAAAAATGTTTTTGGAACTTAAAAAATGAATGCTTTGCAATACCACAAGTATACTTACCCAATCGATTTTCAAAAACGACTTTACGAATTGGAGAGGCTGTTCGTTTAGTTCAAGCATTTGCTAACAGAGTGGGGAAAACAGATAGAAGATGCTGAATAGGCTAGATATTAATATTCTCCAAATATGATAATGATTAATTACAGATTGTTATAAAATTAATTATGTATTATATTTAGGATAAAAAACTTATAATAGAAACACACAGATAATAAGTAATTAGGTAAATTAATAAATATATTAACACCCATTTGTCATAAAAATAAAGGACCGAATAAACAAAATTGTTACTATTATTGGTACAATAACCTGGATAGTTAAAAGTAGAGCAATTTCGTAGATAATAGACAAGCTATTTTAAATAATATAAATGCCAATCCTATGTGAATAAAAATATAACTTTGAGGAATAAAACAAAAAGCCAAATTCTTGAAATAATATCTAAAATAGACAATATTACTAGACTACAAATAAAGAAATTAAAAATAAATTGTGATTTGTAAGGAGTGGTAACTGACGGACTCAATAGTTAAATCACTCTATATAAAATCAATAGATAGAATGTAGTATACAAAATGTTTGAATACAAATAGTCACTTGAAAACAAATTATTTTTAACTAACGTAGTCTAATATATAATTCTCGTTCACAACCAAATTTATAAATTCGTGAACTGCGGCATATTACGTTCCAAAAAGCAGAAATGGCATGTGACCACAGTTATGCTTAATCTTATATTTGGAGCTGATCAGACAATGGAAAATCGAAAACAGACTCTAAGAAAGAGAAAAACAGGATTCTTAAACAAATGTTGCGCTCTAAAGAGTGTAAAAGTTACTTAGCGCCAGCTACCTTGGCTGGCAGAAAGTGAACATCACTGTGTGTCTCTGAATTTCGTAGCAACCACTTAAATATTTCTAAAATATTTCGTTATTCTCTTCTATCATTATCTGACGAGTACTAATAGTAGAAAACATTGTCATAATGTGAAAGAAAAACAAGAGTTTGAGGGAAAAAGGATAGGGTCTTCATATCTTTGGTGCGTAATACGTCCTCCTCTAAATAATATGCCTTTTTATTTTTTTGCTCAATTTCATTGCTAATTGGAAGCGTGTGTATGTATGTACATATTACAATTTACATAACCTATATTTTTTTATTAAATGTTTGTGTTCTAATTGGTCATTTACGTCAAACAGATGCCCTTGTACATTTTACCTGCATTATATTTTATCATATTGAATGAAACACCATTATACGTATTTATGTACAATTAATGTTTCCATAAATTAATTCTTTAGGAGATATATTTAAATTTTATGCTGCCACATGATTTGGACACGTGAGATTACTGGAATTCTTTATTTTTATCGTGTATTCCAATACCATCGACTATGTACATTTATTTCTCTTTTGTTGCTGCCTTGCTCCTTGTGTCCCCATATTTTTGTAGTTTTCTCTATTCTTTTTTCTATTGTAAATACTACATAAGAGTAAACCGTACGTTTTAATACGAAATTAATCGATAAGATGAAGTCTTACTTTATTATGTACCAGTATTAATTATGTTAACGTTAATTACATTTAATTTGTAACATGTCCTATTTTTAACCCAATTCTAAAAACTACTGGTAAATTCCCCTATTTTTAATTTTGCGGAAAAAAGTTTTTAAAAAATAAACATATCTCTTATTTAATAAACACGTCTAGACTATCTTTTTGCGTACTCTGAACTCTGATATCGTTGGGGCATTGATAAAAATTTCCTTCATGAACAAATCCATTAGAGTGCATGCACCAGATACTTTCTATTTGTTAAGTGATTATGTATTCATGAATGAAATCGTGTCGATCGATTTGTGGTTTCTTGTCGTTGGCATGGATTTAATGAGTCTTAAAGTTCGAGTTAAAAATAAATCAGCAGAGAGCAGAAGTAGAAAACGCACACTATGCACTGTAGACACACATGTCTGGTGTTGAAATCACTTATATTTAAGCGTCTTGATATACAAATAATACTTATCTTCTAAGTTTTTGGCTCTTAAATTTCAAAACTATTTGATTACAATATTGAAAAAAAAACACACCTCAAAATTGAACGATATGATGAGACACAAACTACAATACTCTGTTTGTTATAAAAGAGTTATTACAAGAGAACAGGTTAGGGTAAAAGAGAGATGTGAATAGAATTAAATTAGCCGTGTTAGCATACAACATCTAGAAGAGATATGCACTGCTAAAAATAAGATTATAATCGTAACATCAGCGTATTACGTAAGCTAAAATATAACAATAACCTTTTTTATTAATTGTTTACAAAATTCTCATTTTCTTGATGTATCCATATCATTTTTAACGAATTCTTTTTGTTTGTTTCAGAACGCTTTAGATCTAAGTGCACCTGCCAGCGATGTACTGTTAAAGAGCCGCAGCAGTAATTGGTTCCAACTCAGTGGTCATCCCGATAGTTTAGCACCTGCTGGACCTGGAACCGTCTGGAAGAAACGATCTTCTAATTCTGATGACACCGAACGTATAGTATACGAAGAAGTGTCACAAGACCCCAATCTTTGCGATATTATTCCAAGATATTATAGAGAAGTTGAATATCAGGGCGAGAAGTTTATAGAATTGCAAGATTTACTGCATGGATTTCAGGTAAATATTTTTTTATAACAATAGCTTTAATATAGTAATGTTTCTTCTAAACATATTGCGATATAAGCTAATACATTATAACCAGAACATATTAACTGGTCACTCTCTGGTATTTGTGTAATACATACATTCAATACCTAATAATAATGTTTTGTTTCAGGATCCTTATGTAGTTGACATTAAAATGGGCACTCGTACCTTCCTGGAATCGGAAGTCCAAAAGGTTACAGCTCGAGCTGATCTTTATCAAAAGATGATCGCCATAGATCCCCATGCACCTACTCCTGAGGAACACCAAGCTAAAGCCGTCACCAAACTCCGGTACATGCAATTTAGAGAACTTCAATCATCTACGTGTAGCCAAGGTTTCCGTTTGGAAGCTATGAAGTGTCGTGGATCCCCTCCGGTCACCGATCTGAAAAAAGTTAAGTCTAGGGACGAAGTTCATAACACTCTAGACATGTTCTTGGGCGGTAGAGAAGACGTACGACAAAGACTATTAGCAAGACTGTGCGAGATTCGGTCTAAAATCGAAAACTCTGAATATTTCACGACCAGAGAAGTTGTAGGAAGTAGCCTTTTTGTAATTTACGATGACACTAAAGTAGGCGTATGGTTAATAGACTTTGCCAAGACCAGCAAGCTGCCAGAAGGAAAGACTGTCAACCACAGGACTCCTTGGGTACAAGGAAATCACGAAGAGGGGTTGCTGTATGGATTTGATAAACTTATTTCTGTAAGTATATATGTTACAAAATAACCAATTTTTATAGAGAAATAGAAATACATATTTTAAATTAAACCATATCTAATATATTCACATAGTATGAATGTTTTATGAATCTTTATATAAACAAACAAATCATTATATCCAGATTCACGTCGAATGAGAATATGGAGACGATCGAGATATGTAGAACATATAAAACATGTCCAAGACGTCTACACATACAGAGGTGGTACAGGAATGGCATTGGCCGGAATAATTATAGGCGGCAGAACCGACCTCATTTTTCCAAATTTCAAAAATTTTGCCATGATAATGCTCGTTGCGATGGCCACCATAATCCCCAGATTTCAATCGTACTCAACATGTGAGGGACATGTTTTAAAGACAAAGCACTCCACATATGGATGACATTCACACCACATTTCGCTTCTGTGATTAACACATTAACATTAACACTATCATTATGAGTATGAACGGTATAAATTGGTTTCTAAAAAAAAATCATCCTCAATCATCAAAAAATCCTTAGACTTTAGACTTTTCTTTTATATATATATATTATATATATATATATATATATATATATAATATATAGATTTATAGATTTATACACTTCTTTAAAGTTCTGTTCCAACAAGATGGCTAACAGCGTATTTTTTGTTACAGATTATAGAAAGTATTCAAAATCCACATTCTAACAACCGGAAAGATCATTTTACCAAGCCCGTGGCAGCTGTAAGAGTGAAATCTTGAACTTGATGGCTAGACAAATGTTCTTTCACATTGGCTCACTGGGCGTTCTTGATTGGGCACCTGAGTGGATTGTTTTTGCTGTTCCTGAGCCGGAAAGGCAAGTTATTCAGGGTAGCTTGAAACCCTGACCTGCGTGTCAACATATGTATGTGGATGTATCAGCCAAGAGTGGCGAGTGTATATTATGTTTTGTTGATGAAGTATTAAAAGAATTAAGTGATTTTTTGACTATCTGATATTTTTTGTCAATTCTTAAATTTGTCTAGTCAATGTCCTGTAATTTCGTATTGTTTAGGTATTTATGATGTAGTTTTAGGAAATTTGTATAATCAAGATTTGTGTACTTGAGAAAACTGTAAATATCTGTATATACTGATTTTGTATTATTAAATTATAATTTTTTTAAATGTCGATGTACTTACATAATAAAAAAAACAACAAATAACACGGGTTTTATTTTAGAAAAAATTATTGAGGATATCAAAGAAATTTTTCCAACCCCACCAACGGGTATACTGATTCGAAGATGCATGCTACGAGATTAGATTGAATTTAAATACTTTTTTTATTTACATATAAGATTTTTTATAATCTGTTTCACAATAAAAACAAGTATTTTTTTTCAATCAGAGGGATGTAAGGTCCAGTGAGCACGAAAATGAAAAAAGGCACAGAACAAAATGGCTCGGTGCTGTTAAAGGCATAGCTTCCAATACTGTGGGTACTATCAGGATTGGTTAGGTAGGTTCAAAGGATCATATCGTTTTAATCTCTTCGCTTGTTGGCTATTGAGAAGATTGTATGCCAGGGTGTTAGGATGCACGAGCAACCTATTTTGATATTTTTTGCACTGTTAGTACCTGCAGATGTATGTAAGGCCTCATTCTGAATATACCAAAAGGCATTAGCGATTGGTCTTAGAGTTTTAGATTGAAATCTTTATATTTTCATATTTGCTAGCCGATCGCTAAAGCTGCGAACCATATAATAATAATAATAATAATATAATAAAGGGTGCGCTAAGGGTTCCATGAGCTGCAAAGAACAATTTGATGACTACAAGAAAGCGTTTGATTCAGTGCCGCATGAATGGCTGATTGATATTAAAAATATATAAAGTCGATGATAACATAGTGATCTTTTTAAAACATATAATGTCAGATTGGAAGACAAAAATTCACCTCCAAATACCTGGTGAAAACAATATCGAAACTGAAAATATTGCAATCAACCGGGGCCTATTTCAAGGAGACTCGTTGAGCCTACTGTGGTTTTGTCTAGCAATGAACCCCCTATCCCAGCTACTGAACTCAACTGAGACAGGTTTTAGCATCAAAAATAACACTACGGTTGTGGCACAGCTTAATCATCTATTGTATACGGATGATTTAAAACTATTGGCTTCCACTCGAAGCCACCTGGATCAGATGCTGAAAACAGTGGAAAATTTCTCTATTGATATTAGTATGCACTTTGGCCTTGACAAGTGCCGTGTCTTAAATAGAATCAAAGGAAAGGTTCAGCCCGATGGATTCGATATGCAAAACGGCCAGAACATCGAGGCCATGGGTGAAAATGATATGTATAAATAATTCGGAATAAAGCAAGCGCTGAAGATTGACCATACGAAGGCAATTCGTACAGGCCTATATGCCTATTAGACTGTCTGGGAAAACTATGCGAAAATATTGTCAAAAATCGTCTAGAAGATGAATTAAGTGAAAGAGAGACTATCTCCAACAGACAATACGGATTTAGAAAAGCTAAATCAGTCATAGACGCGCTAAAAAGTTTAACTGATTTTGTAAAAAACACAAAAAAAAGATGGGCCATACTGGTCATGTTTGATGTGAAGATTGCCTTCAACTCTGTCAACTGGGCACATATCATAAAAAAACTGGAATCAGCATGAGTGTCAGGATATCTCATCTATATCATTAAAAGGTATCTTACTAATAGATATGTTACAGTGGCAAAAAATACAGAACAGACGTTAACAACCGGCGTACCGCAAGGTTCCGTTAGGTCTGACACTCTGGAATGTATTATATAACGGGGTATTAGAAATAGACTATGGTAGAGATACTCTCGCTATTGCATACGCAGATGACCTGGCGATACTAGTCATGACTGACATGAACTAGAAAATCAAATATAAAGTCAACACATGCTGCAGAAAAGTCAACAGCTGGATGGCTAGAAACGATCTAGAACTGGCAGGAAGCAAAACGGAAGTGGTCATACTAAAAGGACCACGACGAAGACCCGAGATGACTTCAAATTGGTAGTACTATTATTATGTCTACTTCTTCTTCTTTGAGTACCGTGCTTAAGTTTTAGGCGTGGGTAGCTTCCATGACGATTTGCCGTTATCGTTCTCGATCTTGCGCAGCATGTAATAATTCATCTGCTGATGAGCCAGTCCATTGCCGAAGGTTTCGGAGCCATGAGTATTTCTTTCTACCAATTCCACTTCTTCCGTCGATCTTTCCGTTGAGTATCAACTGCATTATCCTGTATCTGCTTCCTCTCATTATATGTCCCAGATATTCGAGTTTTCTCTTTTTTATCATCTTTATTAAGTCACCTTCACCTTGACCTAGTCTGTTTAAGCCTTCTCTGTTTGAAATGTGTTGAACCCATGATATTCTGAGCATTCTACGATATAACCACATCTCGAAGGCTTTTAATTTGTTCATCATGTTAACCTTCATAATCCAGGTTTCACATCCATACAGTAATACAGGATACACATAACATTTTAGGAACTTAATTCTCAGCTGTAAGCTCAGCTGCGGGTTGCTCAGAATAGATCTAAGTTTCATAAATGCTTCTCCCAATAATGTCTACAAACTATGCAAAATACGTAGGCATATACATCGACTTAGGCCTAAGGTTCACGAAACACCTGACAAATGTAGTCTAGAGGGCGGAAGAAAGAACGGCAGCCCTACAAAGGATCATGCCTAATATAGGAGGCCCAAGCATCCAAAAACGAAGAATGTATCTGCAAGTGGTACAGTCAACCCTTCTGTATGGAACCCCATGGGTAGATGTAGTAAATTACAAAAAGTAGAGAGACATGATAACCAGAGCCCAGCGAAAGCGCCTACTAAAAGTAACAAGTTCGTACAGGACGATCTAATCTACTCAGCATAGATCTAAGTTTTATAAATGCTCCTCCTAATAATGTCTACAAACTATGCAAAATACCTAGGCATATACATCGACTTAGGCCTAAAGGTTCACGAAACACCTGACAAATGTAGTCTAGAGGGCGGAAGAAAGAAGGGCAGCCCTACAAAGGATCATGCCTAATATAGGAGGCCCAAGCAGCCAAAAACGAAGAATGTATCTGCAAGTAGTACAGTCAACCCTTCTGTATGGAACCCCATTTGGGCAGATGTACTAAATTACAAAAAGTAGAGAGACATGATAACCAGAGCCCAGCGAAAGCGCCTACTAAAAGTAACAAGTGCGTACAGGACGACTTCAACGGTGGCCCTACAGGTAATAGCGGGCACGCTGCACGCTCCCTATTCACTTCCTAGCGAAAGAACGAAAGACTCTGTATAACTACTCTCGAGAAGGCCACCTACCTCAGGTCAGAACTGCCATTAGAGAACAATTACTAACAGAATGACAAGCAGAATGGGAGGCACAGATAGACAAGGCACAATGCACTTATTAAAAAATTGCATAACTAAAAAATTAATACCAATGTGATAGAGTGGTACAAATATCAGTTCAAGCGAGTAAGTTTTTATTTTATGCAGGTCCTGACCGGATATGGATCTTTCAGGTCTTACACGTATCGTCTACGAAAACCAGCGATGGTAATTGCGTCATATGTAACGTAGAAGGTACAAGGTGTTTGCGTCGAAACAACATATAATGCGAACAAAGATAGTAGAAATAACTTGATACGTGTCGCTGTGGAAAGCAGAGATAACTTTAAATTTCTTATAGACCAAGTAACAAAATTTATGAGGAAAAAGTCCATAATAGAGAAAGAAACTGAGACAGGATGATAGTGATCTGGGGCAATTCGTTTCCATTCAAAACTGTTTATCATTATATATGAATATATAGATATGTGTATATATGTGTACGTAGGTGTGTATATGTGTATATACGTATGTATGTATGTACATATGTATGTACTACACTTGTTTACTATCATGGACGTATAAATAAAGATATACGTCCATGTTTACTATACTTATTGTTACCTAGTATTACCAAATGCCTTTATCTTATTATCTAGTATACCTATACATTCCATACACTTTCCCCTGTTTTCTTAGAGCTCTTAGGTAATACTATCAGTAAGGCCATGTCACTATTTTACATACATTTTCTTCTAGTTCCTTACCGCTCTAAGCTAAGAACCGGCAACAAATCTTCATTATCAATTCAGATGGGTGGTTTTAGTTGGTAGGCAGGGCAATAGGAAGGCATCCGCTTGCAGGACCTCATCTACACAGGGGGAAATGGGCTCGGATGTTTTCCACAACACACGCCGATCAATGGTATGGTGTTTAGAACATTTCCACCCTCATAAAAAAAAACTATTTAACTAGAATAGTACAAAAGAATAGCGCCAGTAGTTAATAAGAAGAACAACCAATAGCAAAGATATTTAATATTATATTTAAGGGATATGAAAAGAAATTTAAATTCTTCACTTAATTCAAGAATTACTGGTGATGTTATTGAAATTGGAAGAAAATATAAATATTACGCAAACATAATCACCAGTATAGAAAAATAGAATTGTTCAAACATTGATGAATCAGGGAGGAGTACCAATCACTAACAATCAGGTAAACTTGAAAAATAATGATGTAGGACTACTAGAAAGCACCTTTCAGCAACAAATAATGAAAGATAAGTACACAGTTGCAGTAGAAGAACGAAACTCAGAGCTTAACAGACTATGTAGTGTATACCTAAGGTACAACAAAACAAATTTTGAAAATTGTTATATAAAAAAAAGA